CTAGTTGGCAGCAGTGTGCAACGGGTTTTGTTTCCACCATTTAACAGTAAATCCCTCCATCATGGTTCAGATAACTCATGTTAAACATGTTATGTATCAGTTTGGACTGTTTATTGAACATTCTTACAATAAATTCAGTAAAAAAAATTGCTTGTGACATCTGACTGAATGTATCGCAATATATCGTGATTTATCGTATCGTCTCCCCTGTATCGTGATATGTATCGTATCACCAGAATTTCAAAAATACACATCCCTGATATATATATATGTATATATATATATGTATCTTATTAAATCATTTTCCAATTGCTGGCACCCGTTCAGTCCACACTCATACCCAGCTGCAGTTTTTACCCCACAGTATATTTTCAATAACATGAGGAAAACATTATTTTTATGGGAAATTATTAAACACTCTTAGGAAGCAGGCTGAGGTAGCAAACTCAAAGTGAAATATTAAAGTGCAAAACATTAAAAACTGTATAATCTTTCAGTCGAGTCCCTTTTCAATTTTTCTGTATGAACTTTGACTCCTGCACACAGCATAGACATAGAAGAATAGACGCCGCACCAACCGCTACCGCCTGTGTTTGGCCGCTTTTGCGGGTTCTACTTTTTTAAAACTCTATGGTTAACAGGATGTTTTAGCTAGGGTTTAGCTCTGGAAAAACTCTGGAGATCTGGAGCTAGAACGGCGAGAAAACGCGTTCAGAAACCCGTTCACGCACGCCAGGACGAACACACTCACTTTTACATTCGTCAGGCAAAATACGAAGGAGTTCAGTTCACGTTCACGAAAAAATGAACAAATTCACGAACGATCGTTCAATGAACGCGTTCGGGAACAACACTGACCGTTGATCCCGCCCCACAACCGAGCTCTAGCTATAGGTCGTTGCCGGACTATATATAAAGTCACATGAATTGGATGGCTTGCCAGGCTAACATCATGCAGCTCTGCGTTTAAATGTCTTACTGTTTTTGCTTCACTGTTAAAAACTAAAGCAGCTTAGATTTGCTAAATAGAAAAAACAACCGAAGGCAAAAAGCGGAATGTATTAGCTGTAATCAGATGTACCCACAGAGATCTGTTTGTCCTTCGTTGCTCCTGACCTCTGACCTTCTTCAGAGATTAGAAGTGGACTTTTAAATATGAAGTTTGAGAAACCCTGGATTAAAGGCCTAGTCCACATGTAGCCGGGGTTTTTTGAAAACGAATATCCGCCCCCCCAAAAACTTGCATCCACACCACCGCGTTTAAAAAAAAAACTCTGTCCACACGTACCCGGATAAATACGTTGTTAAGGACATGCCAGACCTGTAGGCGGCAGTACTTCCCCCGTTCTTAACCTCGTCCTTCGTCTGTGGTCTTCCGCAAGGAGCAGTGCAAAAAAGGAGTGCAGCTCTGAGGGCATCCATGCTGTCGGCTAGTGTAAACACAGGTCGCACACGTGATGTCAGCATTTTTTGTCGCGGAAAGTGACGTTGCGGACCTTAAAACTCCGGTTTTGTCCGTCCACACGCAGACACCCAAAACGGAGAAAACGCAGATCTTCACTTTGGCCGGAGTTTTTAAAAAGATCCGTTTTCGTGTGAAAAAACTCCGTTTTCGTGTGGATGACAGGCCAAAACGTAGAAAAATATCTACGTTTTGGCAGATCCCCGGCTACGTGTGGACAGGGCCAAAGAGACATACTTAACTAAATGTTGATGGGATTTAAATTGGATCAACCAATAAATGAGCAGAAGAACACAAAGAAAAATATGTGGTTTAGGGAGAAAGTTTATATTTTTAAACGTCCACCTTTAATAACACCTTGACACAAGGCCTCCATCCCTCCTTCTGTCTGATTTGTGTCTTCAGTCAAAACAACAAAGTCGTTTTTTGTCTGACATGAACCGTGTTAAGCCAGCAACAACAACACAGGAAGGGTATGTTCTCACTCATCTTGCCAGGGAAATTATAAAGTATTTGGTTTGTGGTAAAAGAAAAGAGAAGCAACTGTTTTTGTGGACACGCCTTAATGGATAGAAGACAAGAAAATACATAAAACAACCTTAAGTAAACGTTGTTAAAATAACACAACAATGATTTAAAATACAACAAACAACCAAAGTCTACAGCTCATCTGGCGTTAAAAGTCAAGACGAAGCGACAAGGAGAGCTGTCTGACCTCCAGAGGCAAGTTGTTCCACATTTGAGAAGTTGCCTAAATCAACACGTAAAGCTAAATGAACCTGTCTGGCTCAAAATGTTGGTCAGTGGAGGAAAAATGTGTTTCAGAATAAAGTTACGATGCTACAGTTATGCCCAAAGAGACTGGCTCAACGTTAGAAACACAGTGTGTGGGCCGCACTGAGAAGAAATCCTGTTAATTAACTTAAAATGCATAATTATGTTGTTGCTTTCTACATAATTATGCCTTATTTGGTCTGTAGGCAAACAGTGACTGCAACAGCTCCTCTTCCTCTGTGGCTTTATTATCCAAAAGGAGAATCTCTGTCTTCAAGACGTTTCCTCTCTTCAGTGTTTCCCTACCCTGGTCCTCAGGGCATGCTGTCCTACATGTCTTCTATTGGGCCATTCCCATCTGTACCGGGTCGGCCCGGGCCGGGTAGCCCCAGTCGGCCCCAGCCTGGCCCGGTTGATTCCACACATCCTTGTCTTAAGCCCATGTGGACTGATTCTACCCACCAATCAGAGGCTTGCTCTAATGGAAGGTGTGAATTTGCTGTCAGCAGTGGGCGTGTTGGCCCTGGTCGGCCTGAAGCAGTACCCCTTGGGAAGAGGGCCGAGAATGAGCCTTGGTTGGCCCGGTAAAATTCCAGGCCACCCAGATATGTAAACAACCTACGCTACCCGGCCCGGGCCGACCCGGTACAGGTGGGAATGGGGCTCTTGTCTCCGCTTTAGCACACCTGATTTATGTCGGCTCCTCAGGAGGACCTCAAGTGCTGCAGATACATGGAAGCTCAAGGAGTGTGTGGCAGCAGGAAACCTTTTAAAACCCGAATATTCACAATAACCCGGTTCCGCTCGGCCATGTAAACACCACCAAAAACCCGGATATGCTCATAACCGGGTTTTTAAAAACCCGGTTACTACACCTGGGGTAACCTTTGTGTGTGTGTGTGCATGTGTGCGTGTGCGTGCATGCGTGCGTGCGTGTGTGCGTGTGTGCGTGTGCGTGTGCGCGTGCGTGTGCGTGCGTGTGTGTGTGTGTGTGTGTGTGTGTGTGTGTGTGTGTGTGTGTGTGTGTGTGTGTGTGTGTGTGTGTGTGTGTGTGTGTGTGTGTGTGTCTGCTCTGTCTTCTCCATCCCCAGTGAGTCGTGGAGGATGGCTGCTTATACTGAGCCGGGATTCTCTGGAGGTTTCTTCCTGTTAAAAGGGAGTTTTCCTCTCCACTGTCGCGTTATGCTTGCTTAGTATGAGGATTGCTGTAAAGTCCCTGACTCTAGTCCGTGACTTGATGCAATTTGCTGGGTTCCTTATATAGGAAACTTTATTTCTGATTGGCTTAATGAACTGATCTGAATTGGAATGTTTATTATGTGAAGCGCCTTGAGACGACTCTTGTCGTGATTTGGCGCTTTATAAATAAACTTGAATTGAACTGAACCCTTTTCTAACCCGAATGTTTTGACGTGTAAACGCATACCGGGATATCCCCATCAAAGCGTGTGTTCTGCGCATGCTCTGTTCGCAAGGAATCTTGGTCCTTTGAGTAGCGAGACGTCTTGTATGCGCCAGAACGCCGGAAGTAAACAACAAGTTGGGAGCAACATGGCGAGTCGCAGTAAGAGCTGCTGGTGGGTGAATACCAGCAATAAAGCGCAAACAAACGCGGTTGCTATCTCTTCCGAACTGGTAAACATGTTGTTTTCACAGATACTGGAACAAGAAGAACCGGAAATGAGGCATATTGCGTCTGGACGTAGTCCATACGTCCTGACGCTACCCCAACGTCCGCATTTAAATCGGGTTATGCAAGTTAGGGATAACTCTTTCTATTCATGCTTGTAAACGGGTTATTCTGATCAACTCAGAAACCCGACCTTAACCCGATCATAACCCGGATATTGGCTGCATGTAAATGGATTCAGTGGGTTAAAGGGCAACATGGGAACAGGACAGGGACCAGGACCAGGGTTGGGAACACTGCTTCACTTCCCTTCATCACTTCATGAAACCACTGCAGGCTTTAAAGTGAGGGTCAAGGCCTCGGTGGAGACGTATTTCTTCCACACTTCCTGTTAGGAAAACGCTTCTGAAAGAGGCGTCTCTTGGCGGACCGAGAGATCGGCACTGAGGCAGTGGAAGACCGAACTCCCCATTGGATTTCCAATGCATTATATATTCTGGAAGCTGTGCAAATGCAGGGATGGGAGTAGATATCCTGCTGGGGTGGTGCTGCGTTGGTTCCCTCGGACTCCGTGACACTCTGTGATGCTGCTGCTTTGGGCCCTGGCAAGATGGGCTCCATGCCCTGGGTGGCATTTTGGCAACGGAGGTGCCTATTGGGGCCAGTGGGGGAGCTGGCTCCCTGGATGGCTTAGGCCAACCAGCCATTCCTCCCCAATCTCCACACACATTTTTCTCCTCCTGCCCCCTCACATCACACAGTCATGCACAAAGGACCTTGGGGGGTGGACAAGTCAGGGGGTGCAGGTACGGACCCCATTTCCGCATTCCTGTGCAATAACAATAAAGTTTTCAGTATCAGGCGTGACATTAAAAGCAGACGCTTTGATGCTCCACCTGAGAGTAAATCTGTAAGGCTTGTCACCAGCATTCAGACATCAATTCTGTTTGCTTCACAGCCAGACAGGACACGGGGGGGGGGGGGGGGGGGGGGGACGACTACCGTTGATTACCAAGGCAAGCATCAGTGAGTTTTGATTTTGCATGCAGCAGCAAAACAATGAGTCCAACCTTAAATCTATTCACATTCTCAAACAAGAATTAATGAAACGAGAGAAGAAAGACAACAGTCCAGTCAGAACGTCAGAACTTTAATGGTTCTTCTATCCAACGTTAAACGAACCCGGGTTTGACTGAATCATTCTACAGAAGCATTATTTGTGATCGTCACACTTTTTGCCTGTCTTTTTTTGGTAGTAGCATTTAGCCATGGTTGTCACACCATTCATGAACTCCTTGAAGTCGAGCTCTCTGTCGAGGTTCCTATCCAGCTTCCACGGGATATTGTCACCGTCACCTGAGCAAATCTTTGCCTGGAGAGCAGAAATGCAGGAAATTACAGCCGAATCAAAGACAGCATTGCATTCATACCAAACGTGTCTCTCACCTTGAGCTCGGGGCTTTGGACTTCCTTCTCCATCATCTTCTTCAGCTCCTGCTTGTTCAGCTTGCAGTCACTGCTGGCGTACTCTGAGAACACGTCGACGATGCTGGTGATGGCTTGTTCTAAACGAGCCATGGTGGTAGCTGCAGAACAGATTCGTAGTTCGGAACATGTTTTTTAATTGATATATTTTATTCCACTCTCCACGTGGTGCTCTTTACCTGTACTCACCTTTACACCTTCAGCGAAGATGGAATATGTGTGATGAAGGACACGGCTTCCTTTTAAATAGTCGACACGACATCTGAGACACAACAGCATGCAGTGACTCACAGGGAGTTCCAACCAGTTTGTCACATTCTCATGTAATTGTCTAAGTGGACTTTAAAACAAAAACCTTTGTGTGTTTATCCTGTACATTTGTTGAAAAGGTGAAGTGTGTGGCAGGTGGAGTAAATCATCTGAGAGGGAAAGGCCTTGTGTTGCTGAGAAAAGATTCGAGGTAGGGCCTGTTGTAAAGATGCCAGTCACCCCCACGGAAATCTACAGCGCATGTTTCAAACATGCTGAGTCATGGCGAACAACAGGCTGGTCCCAGAGCTCATGTCTGCTCTCTCACCTGGATTTGTAACTGTTCAGATAATTAGAGAGAGAGAACAGATTACTATGAAAAATGCTGCAGTTCCAGCTACACTGAGCAGACTGACCATTAGCACACCTGTTTAAAAGTGTTCTTTACAATTCCGGTTTTCATGCATACAGTGTGCAAAGTTACTATCTGGTGTCCACAAGTTACTCTGTAATGCTCCTTAGTTACTATCTGGTGTCCACAATTTACTTTGTAATGTCCCTGTTACTATCTGGTGTCAACAAATTTCTATGTAATGTTCCTTAGTTACTATTTGGTTTACACAAGTTACTAACTGGTGTCCACAAGTTACTTTGGAATGTTCCTAAGTTACTAACTGGTGTCCACAAGTTACTTTGTAATGCTCCTAAGTTACTATCTGGTGTCCATAAGTTACTTTATAATGTTCCTTAGTTAATATTTGGTTTACACAAGTTACTATCTGGTGTCCACAAGTTACTTTGTAATGTTCCTTAGTTACTATTTGGTTTACACAAGTTACTAACTGGTGTCCACAAGTTACTTTGTAATGTTCCTTAGTTACTATCTGCTGCCCACAAGTTACTTTGTAATGTTCCTTAGTTACTATCTGGTGTCCACAATTTACTATGTAATGTCCCTGTTACTATCTGGTGTCCACAAGTTACTCTGTAATGTTCCTTAGTTACTATCTGGTGTCCACAAGTTACTTTGTAATGTTCCTTAGTTACTATCTGCTGCCCACAAGTTACTTTGTAATGTTCCTTAGTTACTATCTGGTGTCCACAATTTACTTTGTAATGTCCCAGTTACTATCTGGTGTCAACAAATTTCTATGTAATGTTCCTTAGTTACTATTTGGTTTACACAAGTTACTATCTGGTGTCCACAAGTTACTTTGTAATGTTCCTAAGTTACTAACTGGTGTCCACAAGTTACTTTGTAATGCTCCTAAGTTACTATCTGGTGTCCATAAGTTACTTTATAATGTTCCTTAGTTAATATTTGGTTTACACAAGTTACTATCTGGTGTCCACAAGTTACTTTGTAATGTTCCTTAGTTACTATCTAGTGTCCACAACTTACTTTGTAATGTTCCGTAGTTAATATCTGGTGTCCATAAGTTACTTTATAATGTTCCTTAGTTACTATCTGGTGTCCACAAGTTACTTAGTAATGTTCCTCAGTTAATATCTGGTGTCCATAAGTTACTTTATAATGTTCCTCAGTTACTATCTGGTGTCCACAAGTTACTTTGTAATGTTCCTTAGTTACTATCTGGTGTCCACAACTTACTTTGTAATGTTCCTTAGTTACTATCTGGTTTACACAAGTTACTATCTGGTATCAACAAGTTACTGTGTAATGTCCCTGTTACTATCTGGTGTCCACAAGTTACATGTAATGTTCCTTAGTTACTATTTGGTTAACACAAGTTACTATCTGGTGTCCACAAGTTACATGTAATGTTCCTTAGTTACTATTTGGTTTACACAAGTTACTATCTGGTGTCCACAAGTTACTTGTAATGTTCCTTAGTTGCTATTTGGTTTACATAAGTTACTATCTGGTGTTCACAAGCTA